GGGTGTTTGGGTGTGAGACAGGCCACTACTGATTGTACTTTAAAAACAACTTTTTTATTCTTGTGGCCATTTTGGGGAAAAACCAATTGGGGTTGAACAGTTCCTTGGTAAAGCTATTGTTTAAAATGTTGATGTTTGCAAACATGCTACAGTGGAGTTGTGCTTTACATTAAAAAAATATGTGTAAACCATCTTGCAGCAGGAATAATGATTTTGTCTTTACTGCAGGAAGACAACAAGGCAGTTAGACAGGTTTTACGAATCACTAGCTAAAGAAGGATAACATGTTTTCTCTTAGGTCAGAGAACTGCATGACATCAAAGTATATTTGTGATCAGTTGCTATGTTACATGAGTAAATTTGGATTGCATGTTTGTTAATCACACATATAACATAAAATATATACTGTGGCCATCTAATTTCTATTTTACTTCTAAAAAGGCTCTACTGTGCTACATAATTTAATTTAAATACTTGATACATAAGCACTTATTGTACAAGAGAGGCATTTAAAAGATGGTTAACCTTCTTTTTTGATTGCAATATATTTGCAGTTAAAATGCGGCCGCAAACTCAGACTGCAGCAGAAAAGGAGCAGAAGGCCAGTCATCGTCGGACTTTGCCAGCTACGCTAATGAAAGTGGAGGCTCAGTCTTCTCCTTTCCAAGCCAAGGATGTGAAATCATCTAGAGGAAGGTCCTACATGAACCCAACAACAAGTTACATGGCCAAGATCTCCAGGAGTGTCTCTGTGGGAGAAAACTTAAACCTTGGGGAAACACAGGAGCCATTACCTGGTTCAGATGGAAAACAAAGCTTTTGTGAACCAGACCTAGGCGTGATATCGAACACTGAGGCAGAGAAGATCAATCTGACAAAGGACAATACAGGTTTTAAACCTGTTTTGCAGCCTAGTGCAAACAACCCTTCCCCAAAGACTTTTCAGTCAAAGAACCGGGCACATCTGACTCTAGACATTGGAAAGCCTTTGCCTGACCGACCATTGCTTTCCTTTGGTAAAAGCAGAAATACATTAGAAATGGAGTCTCCGAGATCGCCAAGATCACCAGGGTGTAGCTGGAAACCTAGATTATCTTTTACAGATCTAACTTGTCGTAGTGACAATCAAGTTTCTGGAGGAAGTGAAAAATGTTCATTAGAAAGCCCAGGTTCTACAAAAGGGAGTCCGGATGATGTCAGCCCAACGAACATTAGGATGAACACAACTCAAGACAAATTGGACTTAAGTTTGGACATCATTAAACCTGTACCAAGAGGTAGAGCTTCTACCATTGGCCACACTCCAGACAATCACTCGGGACTCTGTCCGGTTGAAACCATGAGACCCAGATCTCCCTCACTCAATGCAGCATCAGCGCTGGACTCAGGTGGGCAAAGAGGTCCACCACAGGTGGTATCTCCCTTTCTGTCTCCTATTTGTGTGGGTGACCTTCCAACTCCATCTTATCTCTCTTCATCCAGTCTCTGGCCTATTTCGCCCTGTTCATACCTGTCTTGTTCCATTAGCAATACAAAGAATGGTGAGGCACATGATTTTACTACACCTTCACTTCCTTAATTGATTTGGGATATTGGATTAAGTTTACAACTGTTTTTTATATTTGTGTTTTGTGTTGACTTGTTAGCCAAGTGTAAAGTTTACATTTATTATCTTTTTAATTACTTTAAATTTGTTTAAGCCAATATGTTTTCTTCTTTATAGGGTTATGTACCTGTATTGTAGCTGCTTACTTGCAAATAATATATTTTAGCAGTCAAAATGGTTTTATGAATTTTAGAGAAAATGTCTTTAGTGGGGAATGGGGGTCTTCTTTGTAGTGCTTTTATTAAGGATCCCTCCAGCTAGAGCCCCCACAGCCTCTTTATCCTAATCACAACACTAGCTCTTTGCAGAACAGTAAGGATAGTAATGCATACACTGGTATCCTAGGCAATCCTCCATTAAGTCTTAAGCAAGCAAGTTTACCAAACTGCCTACCAGAGCCCTGATTTGAGTTCCAATAGCACAATCAGTGCCTATCTTGATAACTCTCTGTCCCTTAACTTGGACTTGTCAAAACAGGGGGAAATCTCTCCTCACCTGTATTCCTTCACGGCTCTTTTTCCATTCAGGCAACTATTCTAAGTTGTAGTATCTGCAGCAGCAACTTTAAGTATTAATGCTGGTGTGGGTATTTTGTTGGTACCTGCTTCTGTGTATAATACTCTTTAATAGTATCCACCATTATTGATACTCAGCACTGTGTCCACTACCCCATATAGTTGGTTGTATACTGCATAAGTAACTCCTAAGTGCCTTTGCTGTGAAAAATTTAGGACTGCCATCATTTAGTCCCTATTTCTTAATTGTACATCAAAGGACCCAGGGAGTTAATTCTTCAATGGGCAGGTTAGGCAGCTACCTTTTTAGGATGGTTTGACAATGGCAAATCACTAAAAAATGTAAGAGCCCTATATAACTCCTTCCTTCCCCAGCCTGCCTGTTTGTTTTTTGCTGGTGTCTTTAGGTGATAGGCACATTCTCTCTGCTCTGAGAGAAGTACATCTTTTTTCTTCACTTTCCTGCTAAATATTTGTCTAGCAAGTTTATTTTGCCTGCTCACAGCCACTGCTGCACCGAACAGCAGCTATCTGGATTGGTTTTCTCCTTGGCAGAGCCATGGCAGACTATACCCAGACCCTGCTGGAATGAAGATGCATGGCTGGCCTGTAATGTTGATGTGGTTTCTGCTGCAGTTTCCCATCTGCAAGTCTGACTCCCTCTTTGTCATTCCTGGGGGACCTTGTATGGGGCAGCCAGCTTCTCGTTCCACCTGGTCCTCTGCACCTTTGCAAAATGTTAGCCTCTGCAGATGCGTGCTTCAGATGCAAGGTTCTTCAGGTGTCCCTCTGATATGCGGGCCCCTTTTGTTATGCGTCCCTGTTGACGTTAGTTTTCACAGGCCTGTTAACTGTAGTTTGCTTGCTTCCTGCCCCGCTGTTGGACTGCTTTTGGACAACTCATCTGTCAAGAATTAACTTCTGTGTCGTGTTATTTACAATCCAGAAACCAGGATCTTAGTCATAGTTGTAAAATACTTTTCTTGGAGTACATCACAGGACCCTCCTCTCAGGTTTTTGTGAACCACTCTTGTACTGCTTGCTACAAAACTAAATCAGGCTGACAGTCGTAAGGGTAATAGAGGGTTGTCGTACAGCTTTGATTGATTTGCCAGTGTTCATTTCCCTGGAGGTAGCTGCATAACCCATCCCTTGAAGAATTAACTACCTGTGTCCGGTTACATATATTCCAAGCAATTTATTTTATAGACAAGACAAAAATCCTGTTTTTTTGACAGAACCACATGTGTAATAATTACAATTCTGCCCTTAAACCATTATTAATGCATTTATGCTAGTGTCTGGAAGCACCAATCCAGTGGAAAAGCCTATACCTTTTATATATGCAGGATGAGGCAACAGGCTCACTTTAAACTGGCCCCTGCAGCATCCTATGCTTGCTTTCCCTTCACTACCACAAGGTTGTTGACCACCAGGAGTGAAGAGAAGCTCCAAGTCTATCACAATAGAGCTTACATAGGGCTGGTAAGACTTCCGCCACCACCATGTGACCATGCTGATGCCTGTGTAACAATTTTGGAGCACCAGTGCTGTCATATAGGAGGAAGTACCAGTATTTCTCTTTGCCCCTGGTGGTAGGCATTTTGGCACAAGAGTAAAGGGTAGGTTAGTACAGTATATGCTAGAGGTGGGCACAGCATTTAAGTGGACCTTTTTGATTTCTCTTGCTTGGATAAGGCACATGTTTAATTGGCCTTAATAAGGCACAATATCTTTTAATTGGCCCTTTACCCCTATTAACTAAAAATAACATCCGCATGCAGTTCTGCATGCTAATATAATATCATATGACATTAGTTAAACAAACATGTTTTTTATTTACTTACACATAGAGTTCATCCACTTCCTGGTCCACTTTGGCACAAATGATGTAATCGTGCCCAAGCCCTCAGGGAAAGGCATTTTCCTCCACTGAGATGATGTGCATGGTCACATGTCCTAGTCACATGTGCCAGAGTTCCAGGAAGTAAAGGTAGATATATTAATCTGCCCTTATTAAAAATTGCCACTGTGAGGAGAATGGGGAGGCAAAGAATAATAAGGTATGGAAAGAAAAAAAAGTCTGCAATTATCTAGAAGTATGTATTTGTAGATTGTCATTACTAAACATTTCTAAAGGTGCCTTTGTTGTTATTTTAAAGATATGGGTAAAGTTCCTCTTTAAGCCCCTTTTGAGATCAGTTAGTGCTTTCCTTTTATTCCTCCATTCCAATGTGTCTCAAGCATATGCGCTAACGCTAAGAAGATAAAATAGAAGTTGATACAACATGCTAACAACTGTCCAGACCTAAAGTATTGCTTTTTGGTAGACTGACCCTTTAAAACGCTATTAATTTTGAAAATATTACTTTGAAATTGAAAATATATACTTATATGCCTGACTGTTCTTATTTTCAGCACAACCAGTCAGCTTTGAGCAGTGTGAAATAATTGCCTCGGAGTTGCAGGACAGCTTACAGAGAGCCCTCAGACTCTATCGATCGGTAGGTAACTGCTCTGTTTCTTCACACATTTATGTATGGTTATAGAAATTTGAGACCATAAATACTGCTTCAAATAATATAAACGTAGCAAGCAAAGTTTAATTCAAACCACTTTTTTAGTTTTGGGTAGAGCAGGGAATTATTAGAAACCTGTCAGGTTTTTATTGCTGCCTGGTTGGCCTCTGGGGAAATTTTTCCTCACTTCCTGTTCGGGTAGACACTAGGGCTGCAGCTAACGATTATGTTCATAATCGATTAGTTAGCTGATTATTTTTTTTCGCTTAATTAAATAAAAAAAATACCATCCTTAAACTTAAAATAAAATATGCGACGATACCTGATGTGTAGCGCAATCATTGGTTTTCTATGTAGGTGTACCCGACTTGTGTTTCCGTTTAGTATACGCGAGTTTGCAGGGTTGGGGGACTTTTAATTTCTGAGGGGGAAAGTTTTTATTTAATTTTTTTTTTTTTTTTTTTTTTTGCTGTTGTGGGTGGGGGGGGGGGGGGGGGGGGGGCTCACACCCCCTATGTGATCCCTCCCTATCTGATGGCACATTGGAGTTGACAGACTCTCTTTAAGGTGACAATGGAGGTCCACTGGTGTCACCTTTCCACTTCACTGGATTTAGCTGCTGAGGCAGCTGAATGTGAACACAGTAGGTAGTGGCTTGGAGCAATAGCCAGCCTGTTATTGGTTACTATAAATTGCAATAGCAGTCTGGCTATTGCACCTGCCTGCTGTCAATCAGCAGAGGAGGGAGCTGAAGGAGAAACTTCTCCTTCAGGTCCTCCTCTGCTGATTGACAGTGGGCGGATGCAATAGCCAGACTGCTATTGGCTTTTGCAATTTAAAGTATCCAATAGCAGGCTTGCTATTGTTTTCAGCCGCTGATGGGAGACTTGACGCTGGTGTTCTATCAATCCCTAGGACACGAGTCCGACGGATTGATAGAACACCGGCAGAGGAGGTGGAATGGGGGGGGGCAGAGGAGGAGGAACGGGGCGGGCAGAGGAGGAGGGAGGG